TGTGTGTGTGTGTGTGTATATATATATATATATATATATACACACACACACACACATATATCTGTGTCAGTGTAAACTACTTGAACCTGATGATGACAAAACCTTGTTGAAACGTTGTACATTTGCTGTTATGTTAAACTTATAAAGTTTTTCTTCATTACCCATTCAAGCCATCTCCAAGCATTATCCTACAACAAAAGAAAAATTTGGTGAGACATTCCATACAACCATTGCTACGCTATCCTGAGTGCCTGTAGTAGCAGTGTGTAACTCGCACATCATTATCCCCCAGATAAGACTACACAGAAGCTGGAGTGCATGGATCACCAGCAGATGTCCCGAGCAACCACAGTCCGAGCAGAATCTGTACTACGTAAGATCAAACTCCAGGACCCACTGCATGGAGGTGGAGCAACTGAGTCATTAGGCAGCTGATAATATACTCCTACACTGGATGGTTGTACAGTGTGGAATTTTGTGTGAATAGATAAGTAACATACCTGGACAGGCAATTCTTGCCAATGAGCAAGAACCTAGACATAAAAAAAGACATGCCTTTGTAAAGAAAAGATAGAAAAGCAAACTCACTTTGTCACAATTGAACTGATGTGTGAAGTGTGGCAAAAGACAAAAGACAGTATCCTGATGAGGAAAAAAACAGCCACCCAAAAGATGGTGGGAGAGATGAACATGTGAAATATTCTCCATATGCTTGACTGAAGAATTTCCTCCATCGGACGACGGAGGAGAGATGTCAGAGAAAAAGTACCAGGGAACGAAAAGGCAGGATCAGGAACTACAGAAAGAGGAATGGAATAAAGTACATGAAACGTCAATGGCAAAAATATCAGACCAATGATGTCCACAGATAAAAAGGATCAAAAACCTGAAAGTAAGCCAATGAATAATCATCCGAAGCTCATGTAGCATGCTGGCACCAGCCCTCAAATGAGAGAAGAATGCTAAATTGGAAGAAGGGAAGAGAAGGTGATTGGACAAGGGGGTGTCATATAAATTTGGAAGGGAAAAGATCACACAAAACTAGGAATACAGAAAAATGTATCAAAGGCCCACCAGATTCTACAGAAAAGGTACAGATGTGCACAACATAGATAAAAGGTTGTCAAAATCCTCATCATCATGAACAGGGACTACGGGGACAGAAGGATCCCAAACAATATTAGGAAAAATGAGAGGAGACATGTAAAATTCAAACTCCCCATGAATGATGGCCAAAAAATCCCCAGCTAAGACTCCCACACATGAATCCTTTGTCATGACAATCAAAGTAGTGCTAACAGTAACCGAAGTCATGACAAAATTCTAAGTTCATAATCGACTGTGAGAAAAAAGCAAGAAAAAAACTTGAAATCACTAATTTGAAAGAGAGAGAGAAAAATTCACGATAAATGAAACATTTGCACAAAACCACTGCTTAACAAGAAGTGATGGTTAGGTAGAATATAATAGAGGGAGTCGTGCATCAGAAGGGAGTGTTGCATTCCTATTGGTGGAGGGTTGTCGCAAGATGAATTACATGCGAAGATACAGTGAACCACGTTGATTGTGTGGTAGGTGGGAGTTTCAAAGCTCGTGACATACAAAAAAAATTTGCATACAGAAGGCAGCACTGAACAAGAAAAACTTATGTGAGAGAGGGCAAGTACCATATTGGAAGTGTTCCAGTAAAACTTTATATTTTATCTGTTATTTTCCCTAAATTAACACTATACAGAAGAGACCAATTTGAAAAATCTTGTAACCACTATAAAAAAATATTAAATCAAAATTATCATTTTTTCTTTCTAGGATCACTGCAGGTTATAACAGAAAATTACAATTATTTGTTCTAAACAGCTAAAGGTTCATAATAGTTTACATCTATTTGTATTTAATTTGTTTTATTGAACCATGTCAAACAAATACTTTTCATGATTCAAACCGTAAATCACACAGCAACCATGTAGCTCAAGCTATGGTATTGAATGATGTGACACATGAGCTAGTCATGAGCATACCTTGTGGAGAAATTTATTATTATTTTTTCATTATCTCACATTAACTAACTTAATAGTTTTCTAATTTTTAGAGCTCAGTTATATTTATAACAATAAAAAATATACAAAGAAAACCAGAAATTTAGCACTTAAGTTTTTTACATGACATTAGCCCACCAGTGACATTTGAGCTTTTTTTTTGTAATGATGATATTATTACATCATATAATCATTTATTTTAAATAGATTTTACAAAACACAAACTAATAACATGCACAAAGCAAACAATATCTTATAGCTATTATAATTTCACTGGCTTTCTAACTGAGGCATAAGTATCTTAAAATAATTCCCTTAGCCACTCGACCTGAACTCCACAACAGTAACTTTTAATCTGCAGGTGAAATAATTAACAATTTCTACTGAAAACAAGATAACATTATACATCATTTGGTAAATTAAAACTTTGTCTTTCTAATAGCTAATAATGTAAAAGAAAGTGTCAGAAAGAATTATTGGCAATTTGTGAAAGAGAGTATGCGACAGGAGGGCATGGCAAGTGAGTCCAAATACCTGGTTTATGTCACCATAAACAAAGATGATTAAAGGCTATAAAAATTAGATTATGTGTTAGTAATATCAATACTATAACAATGTCAAATCCAGTACATCATAAAGGGGTGATGAAAAAATAGAAAATGAGCAAGTCAGAGCAAAAAAATATCATGTTACACAGACAAGTGAGACTGAGAATCTATTCAAATATTTCCTTTTGAAATTAAGAAATTAATACATAATACTAAAATATAGCTTAACTATTTTTTGATGTCAAGTTTATTTCTATACATTAATAATAACATAATTTAAGTAAAATTTTCATGTAACTCAGTAAAAATGTGTGACATACACACTCTGATCTACCCATATTGAGAGGGTTAAAAGTAGAAATTAGCTGTTTAAATGGTGAATATTTCACTGAGGGTGGACCTGTAACACTAACATTGAATTCACAGTTTTGTTTTAGTATCTTCCAATACTTCTGATGGATTTCTGCATTTAAACCTACCAAGTTTTATAGCAAAGTATGATGGATAAACTATTTGACATGATACTTTTGACATGTATAATATATATTTTTGGTTACTTAACAAGGTTAGCAATTCAAAATGCAGCTTTGAAAGTTTACATTTTAATATAATATTCATAGTAAGAAAAAATATTTTTAGGTGAAAAATCAGTAACTAGCAAAATAAGAAATAAAAAATACCTTGTGATGCTTAGAGTGGTTATCTCTAGCTGAAGTTGTAGAAGGCTTCATAGAAAGAGGTTAAAATAAGAGATAAAACATGCTAGAACCATACACCAGAACATGCAAGAAAGTAGAGAACCTACAAGCAGGTTAAGCTTACAAAAAAAAAGTGTAATGCAAGAAAAAAGAAAGCATATTAAAAGAAATTTATAAAAAATTCAAAATAAACAAAAATTACATGAACAGTTAAATATTTCAAATGCTGAGATTAAAACATACACACAAATCTATTTGTCCACTTCTTATCCCACAAAATACAAAAAAGTAGTATGTAACTTTTAGTATTTTGCTTCTAAACAGTGAACATATTCGGTACAATGCCATTGACAGCTCACCTCGAATTGCATCTAAGCTTTTCAAATATTTTTTTCATGTATTTTATGGTTTTTAACATCTAGTCATCAGGATTTTACAGCATAGCATGTAGAATATGTTTAATATGTTTGTGAAAAAAAGAGTTTAAAGCTTTTTATTGCATGTTACATATATCCAGAGCAAGCAGTCAAATTTTACCAGATTCTTATTGTAGACAAAAGCAATGTAATAATATCACTGCAGTAATTTAAGTATGTTTGTAATTGTGTGTGTGTGTGTGTGACTGAGAGTTTGTGAATTATATATGTGTGTGTGTGGATATATAAATCATTCAGAGTACATTATGAGACTGAATGTATAACTTTATATTAAAAAGTTCAAAATATAATAGGGGGTAAAAGTTTTCAGAGTTTGGGAAAAATTAAACTTCAAGTCAGTAATAATAATCCTCTAAATATTATAACATTTATATTTGTTAGTGTATAGTATCAAAAGTTGAAGGTTTATACATTGATTTCTATAATAGATAACAATCCCGTATCACTTGTTTGTGCCATCCTGTACAAGTATACCACCACTTTTTGTATCAACAGATTGCACGTTATTTTAGACAATTTTTAAAACCTTTTTGGTGACAACATACAATATTCGTTTGAGTGAATTAGTCTACATTTTATTAACTGTTTTAATAAGTTTCACATTTACAACTTTTATCACTGATATCAAATCATTGTGGACATTATAGATAATATTTACTCTTTGTCAATCAGTGGATGTACAGGTCACCTCAAGTGCATATCCACAAAACATATTTCAAAATTTAATTAAAAATGCTGTAATTCTAATTCAACAATTTTTCTACTAGAAAATTCCAGAACTGATGTTTTACCTTTATATAATGCATATTGCATATTTGAATTTCAGAAAGAAGGTAACTTCTTTAATCATCAAAACCATGGATGTCAAAAAAATTTACTGACAAACACTGAACTAGTTAAAACTGACTAGATATATGAAATGAGTCGTGATCAAAATGCTAAAAAGTAGAAAACCTAAAACAAAAATTACTATTTTAAAACTTTTCAAAAATGTTTCATCCCAAAATTCCAGATATTTCTCATATAAAAAAAATTATAGAAATAATAAATGTTAACATTTTTTTCATGAAAAAACTAACTATTTAGAATTGTGTAGTTCGGTTAAATACTTTCACTGTAGATATCAAAATACAAAGCATGATTTAAAATGTTTAAAAAATTTCAATAACTTTTTCTATGCTACTTTTACTACAGGTTTCTCTTCATAGATTCTAGCCTCCTGCATGAAACATAATGTCCAAGCAATGATTATTTGTTTACATGACAAAAATATATTTTTGATAAAAACTGTCATAATATTTTGATAAATATTTCTTCTTTTAAGTTTTGCACTTTTTTTGTTTGCAATTGCTACAAGTTAAGCTATTGTATTTTATTTTTTACCATATTATCAATTAAATTAAATAATTTTTGGAAATTTTGTTTTTGCTCTTTGTTAAAATTACAACATCCAGATTTGAATTAAAATATAGAAGATAAAGATTATATCTAATATTATATGTATAATGAATTTTTTCCCTGAGCTAAGAATATTTTTTTAACCAAAACACAAATATAAAGAATATCATTAGCTTAACATATATCCAGGACAGCAAAAAAAAAAATTTCTTACTCTTAATGCAGAAAGAAGTGTGTGAATGGCTTCTTTAAGACGAGAATGGTTGGTTTTATGCATGAGTTCCTCATACAAAAAGATTCCAAGAGCACTTATTGCTACACACCTAAAATTAAAAATGAAATAACATACTAAAGTTTCAAATGGCATTTCAAGTTTTCTATTCTATTAAAGTAAAAAAAAATACTAACAATAACTAAACACTACAATAAAAGATTAAAAACAACTTAGAGAAATAGATTAATGAAATACTGATAGTATGTAACACTCTCACCACAGGCAAGTCAAAGTGTGTATGTCACAGATTGTTAGTTACATTCAAAATTTAATTATACAACTTTATCTTCATTGTATGAGAATAAATTTGGCATCAAAACATAATTAATAAATCAAGTTTTAATATTATATAAGTTTTAAGTTCTTAATGTTATAAGGAAATATTTTAAACAATCCTCAATCTCCCCTCGTATGAGAATTGTAACATTTGTTCTTTAAGTCTTTAATTTATTTACCACACCTCCAAGAAGTGTAGAATTTAACTTAAATTACTCATTATAACACAGATATTATATAGGCAAAGCATAATTTTTATAACCTTCAATCTGATTTGTCTATGGAGCCATAAACTGGAAAATCAGACCCACTTGCTACACCCACCTGTCACACCCTCTCTTTCAGAAATTGCCATTAGTTCTTTCTAACATTTTATACTATATCATTCATAACCAACAGAAAGCCAAAGTTTGAATCTATCAAATGGTGTATTATATTGTTGTTTTCTGTGCACAGAATTTTCTATCTTGCCTCCAGATTGAAACTTCATCAGAAATCACACTAACAAGCTTAGCTGAATTTTTAAAGGCTCTTATCAGATATTAGAAAAATGATGACAATTAAAGAAGATCATTTGCTTTTTGCTTGTTATTATTCTGTGTTCTTAGGTGCATTATTTAATTTAATAAAAATTATTTAGTGTAGTAGTACCATTAGTATAAAAATAAAGTAGGCTTAAGTTTCATGAACAGTTGTCGGCAAGAAACAAGACCCAGGTAAGTACTATACTTCTTGCTGTTCATGTGTATTCTTTATTTTTTTATCATAAAAGTAACTAAAATGTATAAAAATTAGAAATTTATTAGGTTAGATTATTTAAGATAATGAAAAAAAATAATAAAAATTATTCATGAGGCATGCTCACAAACAGCTCATGCAGCACATAATTCAATAGGATAACATGAGCTACACATTTGCCAAGCAATTTACAATTTGTGTGGTGGGATTATTATTTACACATGGTTCAAAGGGTAATACAATGATTAAATTTCTGTAAAAACAGATGTGTACTGTTACGAGGTTTAAGTTATTTATGATAAACAACTGTAGCTTAACATTAGAGTTCACAGTCATTCTAGAGACAAAAAAAAGGTAACTTAGATTTATTTCTTTTTTTTTTTTTTTATTATGGTTATGAGGGTTGGTCAAACCGACTGAGTCTGTATATGGTTAGGGTAGAAAAAATAACAGATAATAAATAAAGTTTTACTGAGAAAAATATTTTATTTATTAGATTTTAGAGGTTACACAAATGAAATTTGACAATTTTCAGATGAAGAAATATATTATTAATCATATCATGAAAATCACTTTGCACTTGGAGCAGGTAACATTTTGGCTCCACATATTCACAGAGAAATCTTTAGTACAAATAAATTAAAAATCAGATGTTTTTGTATACAAAAGGCTTGTAGTGTTTACAGAAAGTTAATCAAATGTCAAGAAGACAGACAAAACATATTAAAAGTTATATTATGAAGAATATGATGGTCAAAAACTCAATTGAATCGGCCAAGCCTGTAGCAAGAGTTAAAGCAGTAAGTGCTTAATAGTTTTTTGTGGAATAATAGTTTCAGTAAATATATGCAAAAAATAACAGTGAAAAGTTTTTAAAATAGTAATGTGAATGTTCTACCAATCTGAAACTAAAATCAATGTCATAAAATGTAGCACTGATAATTTTTACTGTAACCATGTTTCTGATACAAGTGACTTACAGTACATCACATTAAATAAATTCATACATTTTACTTAATTTAAAAGATATGAAACATTCCATCAAGTCTAACTACATTTTCTCTAATCCTCAAATAAAAAAAAGAGAGAAAAATATTTTGTACGATATTGAATGAAAAACATTAATTTTTTGACAACAGTAAAAATTAATTTCAATATTGAAACCTTGAATTTTGCTGAAATATCATATTTATACATATATATATATACACACATATACACACACACACACACATATACACACACACACACACACACAAACATATATATATATATATATATATATATATAACACACACACAAGAATAAGTAATAACAATAAACAATATACTACTATATACACTAACTACTCTAGTTAGTTAAAGTTTTAAAAAGGGTTTAAAACGGGTTAA